GTCTACTAAAAATACAAAAAATTCGCTGGGTGGTGGCACATGCCTTATAATCCCAGTACTTTAGGAGGCTGAGGCAGGCGATGCGTTGAACCCAGGAGGGCGGAGGTCGCAGTGAGGCTGACTCACGCCACTGCACTCCAGCCTGAAGCGATAGAGCAAGACTTGTCTAAAAAAAAAAAAAAAAAAGAAAAAATAATAAAACAAGATGTTCAAAGAATACTTAAAAGTTCGTGAATTGTGAAAGATCGATACCTTATTTCTTATTTCTCTGTATCGTTTCATTTTCATTTAATTTTTTAAGTAGGTAAAAATGTACATGGCTCAAAAACAAAATTTTTTAAAGTTATTTAATGAAAAGTTTCTATTCCACTTGATTTTCCCAGCCACCTAGTCTCTTCCTCCTACTCTGAAATAGGTTGTAACTGTTACTAATTTTTTGTGTGTCCTTCCAGATATTTTTTTGATGCATATATGTTTTCCATATTGAAACAAATATATTTTCCTCTCTTTATCACTAAGATGGTAGAGTCTTGCATTTTTTATTTCCTAACAGCTGCTTAATATTAAAATGTATGGATACATTTTAAAGGTACAAAAGGTAACATTTATGATCCCTTCTTAGTTTTAGATGTTGAGACTGGAAATGAGTATGGAAATTTAAAGCAAGAAGTTTCTGAAGAAATGAAACCACATGGGAATACATCCAGTAAATTTGAAAATGATATGTCCCAGTCTGCTAGGTGTGGAGAAACTCATGAACCTGAAGAAATAACAGAAGAGCCCTCTGCATGCTCCAGAGAAGATAAACAACCTACCTGTGATGAAAATGGAGTAAGCCTGACTGAGAACTCTGACCATACTGAACATCAGAGAATCTGTCCAGGAGAAAAATCTTATGGATGTGATGACTGTGGAAAAGCTTTTAGTCAGCACTCACACCTCACAGAACATCAGAGGATCCATACTGGAGACAGACCCTACAAATGCGAAGAATGTGGAAAAGCTTTCCGTGGGAGAACTGTGCTTATTCGACACAAAATAATACACACTGGAGAGAAACCATATAAGTGTAATGAGTGTGGCAAAGCCTTTGGCCGGTGGTCAGCTCTTAACCAACACCAGAGACTTCACACAGGAGAAAAACACTATCACTGTAATGACTGTGGCAAAGCCTTTAGTCAGAAAGCAGGCCTCTTTCACCACATCAAGATCCACACAAGAGACAAACCTTATCAGTGTACTCAGTGTAATAAAAGTTTTAGTCGGCGTTCCATACTTACTCAGCATCAAGGAGTTCATACCGGCGCGAAGCCCTATGAGTGCAATGAGTGTGGAAAAGCCTTTGTTTATAACTCATCCCTTGTTTCCCATCAGGAAATCCACCACAAAGAAAAATGCTATCAGTGTAAGGAATGTGGGAAATCCTTCAGTCAGAGTGGCCTTATTCAGCATCAGAGAATTCACACTGGGGAAAAACCCTACAAATGTGAGGTATGTGAAAAAGCCTTTATTCAAAGGACAAGTCTTACAGAACATCAGCGAATTCACACTGGAGAAAGACCCTATAAATGTGATAAGTGTGGGAAGGCGTTTACTCAAAGATCGGTCCTCACGGAACATCAGAGAATTCACACTGGAGAAAGGCCCTACAAGTGTGATGAGTGTGGGAATGCCTTCCGAGGAATCACCAGCCTCATTCAGCATCAGAGAATCCACACTGGGGAGAAGCCCTACCAATGTGATGAGTGTGGAAAAGCCTTCAGACAGAGGTCAGATCTTAGTAAACACCAGAGCATCCATAATAGAGGTGGTCCCTATGTATGTAAAGAGTGTGGGAAATCATTCAGGCAGAACTCAGCTCTTACTCAACATCAGACTATCCACAAAGGAGAAAAATCTGTTTCTGTGTGATGACTACAGGGAAGTTATCTCACAGAGTTCAGGCCGGTGAGAAATACTATTTAGCTTTACAATTATTGGGGTAAAACGTCAGTCACCATTGTTACAGGGAAACCTCAGATATTTAATAAGAATTCAGTACGTGCTGCCCATTGTATTAGGTGCTGTGGAGAACAAGAAGATAACCCCAAACTCTTTTCTCAGAGAGTTTATAGCCTAGTTTGGGATAGATAAGATCCACATATTTAGTTAAATAAGACTACAGGAGAGTAGAATAGATGCACAAGTCGGTGTTGAATAAAAGTGGTACTTTGTAGCCTGTAAGTGCTGTAAATTCTAAAGGACAGGTTACTTTTGCCTGGAGTGGTGAAGAAAGATTTTATTTAAAATAAGGATTTGATGGGCAGACTTAGCAGTCACAAGGGAGAAAATGGGTAAAACAAATGTAAGCCAACTTAAGAGTGCATGTGGTTTGGAAGCATCAGGAAAAAAACTAGCCAACCTGAAGTAAAAGGTTCATGCAAATTGGGCAATCAATAGCATTAAGTTGGAAACAGCTTGGGGACAGACTATAAGAAGGCCAGAATGTGAATAATTTCATCTCATACTTTATAGCACTTTGACATTTACAGAGCACTTTTCTTATTCCTAAAATACCTTGGTAAATCAAAAGCAGTCTCCATTTTAAAAATGAGAATACTTTTGCCTATGAAGACGGCGACACAGCTATAATCCCACACAAAGAAAAAGACCAGTAACCTAAGTGCAGGTCTCTTGACTTCTAGTCCTGGCCATTACACTAGTGATCTTCCAACATTGATGAACATCAAAATCACGTTTGGGGCTTGTTTAACATCCCTGAATCCCACTCACATTCTGCTTCATTAGGCCTAGGATGCAAGTTAAGAATCTTCATTTTTATAGCTCCACAGCTACTTAATATACTTTAAAATTTGAGAAATGTTGAGTTGAATGACAGCTGACTTCATGGCTGTCTGCAAAGTGGGGAAGCCTGAACACAGTCCTGTAAACTAAAGGCCACTGCAGACTTTTAGCACAAGGAGATCCTTACAGGGAACATGTGCCACCAGCTCTTTGGAGTAAACCGGGAATTAGACCCCATCATGCCAAAAACTAGGGTTTTAAGGTGGTCTTTCCATCCCTTCAGATTTAAGTATTTAAAGAAAAAGAGACAGACCTACATTCCAAGGGTCTTCTGAGTGCAAGGCCTTGTGTTGTTTGTTTATTTAGGGGAGGGCTTGGTGCTCTTCTCTGCTTTACGCTTTACCTTCTTTTGTTTCCCAGATCTCTTGTTACCACTATGTTCTGAATTCCCTAATAATTGCTCTTGAGAACTGATTTACATTTTGTTGGTTTGTATACTTCTTGAGCACATAAAAGGACCCCAAATTAGAGATACCATCCCTTGGGCTTCTGAAAAAGGAACCAAAAACTGGTTGACTCTAACCTTGTCTTGCTGAGTAAAAATTCTGCTTTGGATGAGAACCTGTCTTGATTGTTTTAGTGGACAACAGGCAAGCCACATAGAAGTACACATGGCTCCTGATCTGTCTTTTTATTTACAGAAATCATTCTTAATCTCTACTGAGATGGCCTGTTAGTTCCTTCCTTTTCTACCCTGCCACAGCAAACTCCACAATTTCTGGGACTAACTTCCTACTGCTCCCCAACACAACTCCAGTCCTCTCTTCTCTTCATACTTCTAGCTGGTCAATGGGTTTGAAGTGGTGAGACAGTGATAAAAGGGGAAGGGGAAAAATAAAAGAAGGGTAATCTACATTCTTCCTTAGTAAGTCCCACTCCTAATTACCTAATTACACAGTCCTGTGTCTTTGTCCCATCTTCACTCCTGTAATACATTCCCCACCCCCATTTTCTTAGTGCCACTGTCTCTTGCCTCTCTAGCCATAAACCCTGTACAGAATTTCATCCCTGAGTTGGAACTAGAAGCACCCGTTGGTCCTATAGCAATATTATATTTCTAGCTAAGTTGTAAATATGAACACGTATTCCCATAGAAGTCATAATGGTCTAAGTATTATAATTCAGGTATATTGGGTGTCAGATTGGCTTCTGGGATTGGAACTTACATGACTTTCTGTGTGGAAAAAACTTCTTGAGTTCATGAGAGAGAAAGGCAAATGAACAGTTGAAAAACAACTTACTCATAAGTTGAGGACTGCTTAGTTAGGTTTTTTTCATAACCCTAGCATAGGAGTTGCACGCATAAGGCACTGAGGCAACTGGGATTGGAAACCTAGTTTTCTTCCTCCAGGAAACAAGGAACCCAGAGTGAGCCTGGGAGCTCTGTAGCTATAAGTATGTGAGGCCTATGCTCTACCTAAGTTTACCCTGCCTCCCATTTCTCACATAATGAGAATGCAAACTTGTAACCAAACCAAGGTTCAGCTGCTTGCGGCTCCAAAGCCAAAACTCGGGAGAGAAGAGAGTTGGTGGGAGGAAAAGCAGATTTATTTGGAGAGCCAGCAAACTGAGACGATGGTAGGCTAGTGTCCTAAAGTACCATCTTAAGTTAGTACAAATTTTAGGCTCTTTTTATGTTAAGGGAAAAGGGAAGAGGATAGAGTTGGGATGAAGAGGTAACCTATGACCACAGACATCTGGGTGCCAGCAAGAGTCCAAGGAAGTTGGGAACTTCTTTGTCATTGGTTGGGTCACAATGCTCCTGTAAATCTTTAACAAAACATAGTTATACATACTTCTTTAATCCCAGAGTTTGTTTTTAAAACTACATGATTGCTGTTTTGCATATTATCTCTGCTCTAAAATTAGCCTACATGGAGGAATGGGTAAAGGCTCCTTAAACAAAAATGGAGTTACTTATGTTAGTTCTTGTGCTGTTTCACTGTTAGAAACTCCTCTCAGTGGAGGGGACTTTACTTAATGATGAGAACCTGTGTGAGAATGTTCTCCTTACCAAATATGCTATGCATACTCCTTATCTAATCTGATTTTATAGACTTGTTATCCAAACTGAAATTACTGTTCATAGTAACTTCAGAGCCTCTCTTTTAATCTGACTGCTCACTGGAATGCAATCCTTGTTTTAAATTTGCCTTCTGTTCCTCTCAGTGCCTTTACTTGGGGGTCTTTCCAGCTCATTTTCTGCTTAATATGGACTGTCATTGCGCACATTCCTCCATTTGCCTTTCTGCACGCGACTTAATATTTCTTATATACCTAATAGTATAAAGGGGCCATAAACAAAGACTCAGAACAATGGAATATGCCGATTACAGGAGGGTACAGTTCATACTGGTTTAAAAATAAATGTGGAGGCTGGGCGTGGTGGCTCATGCCTCCCACCTTTGGGAGGCTGAGGTGGGCGGATCACGAGGTCAAGAGATCGAGACCATCCTGACCAATGTGGTGAAACCCCATCGCCACTAAAAATACAAAAATTAACTGGGTGTGGTGGCATGTGCCTGTAATCCCAGCTACTCAGGAGGCTGAAGCAGGAGAATCGCTTGAACCCAGGAGGCAGAGGTTGCAGTGAGCCGAGATCGCGCCACTGCTCTCCTGCCTGACGACAGAGCGAGACTCCGTCTCAAAATAAAATAAAATAAAAATATAAATATATGTTGGGGTTTTGTTCTGGTTATTTCTCATGCTTAAATACAGTTGTAGTACCAAAAAATGGTGGAGTGACATGGAATTTCCAGGTAGGCATCAAAGGGGATTAAACTAGCTCTCCAGGATAAAGAGGAAATATAGTAGAATAAGGCTACTAATTGGAGCTAAATTGGCAATATAGGGAAATTTAAGGCCCTGAGGGGCAAATGGAGGATGTGACATGTTAGATATGGAATAGGAGTACTACACTGGGGAGTGCAGTGAACAGAGAATGCTTTGTGATGAAGTCAAGAGTACATTTTATGGATAAAATACAGATGTGGTGTGACAGTGACAAGATCCTAGGAAACCTGAAACCTCTGAAGCATTTTATGTATGTGGATTTTGAAATAACAATAACAGGGGGTGGGATGGAAAGGAAGAATATGAAAGTGAAGCAGGTCCAAGGTAGAAATAATGGTCATCAATTGTAACAACAGCCAGATAGAAGTATCTGGTGTAAAACTCAAATGAATCATAAAGTTTGCAAATAATATTAAGGACAAGAATAAGATTGACTGGCTTGTCTTTTCTAATTGGTTCAAGGTAAACATGACATTAAGTGTTCAAGGCAAAAAGCATGGGGAGGTTGGGGAAGAGCCAAGTTTCTAAAGTAATGAAAAGTGAAGTGAGTTTCAACTCAGGCTGTGAATGAAAACATAACCTGACAAACTGATTCCAGAGAGTGCAGTGGGAAGGGACTGCAGAGGAAAACAGAATGGGGCCCTCCTTCCAACAATACATTGTATTAAGAGGTTACCAGAGTTTGAGGTATGAGATGAAGCTAATGAGGAAGGACAGTGGGATTCATCAGGGCTCCAAATTGAGACATCTCAACTGTATAATGAGGTTGGTTGTAGAGAGCACTAAGATACAAGAACTTAGACAAGTCTGCACTCCTGTACTCAGTACAGAACTAGTCTTTTTTGTTAATATACAGATTATTCGTCGAGTTGCTATAGTCAAAACAAAGCTGTTCTTATTGACCATCCTTTGGAATTGAGAAAAGGGTTTATTAATGACAATACTCCACACTTATTAACTGCTAAGGGCCAGACATTACTAAACGCTTTACTTACAACATCTCACTTTCAGCTGGGGAAACTGAAATAGATAAGCTAAAGCTGCTCAAGGTCCCAGAGTTAGTATGTGGTAAGGCCAAGATTTGAACCCAGGCAGCCCACTTCAAGAGTCCACACTTTTAACTTCTGTGATACACTTCCTCAGTTTATTTCAGTTGAACAAACCATGTGTTGCAGTGGTAATTCAGTGTCCTGAGTAATTATCTGTAAAAACTTTTTATCTCTAGTCAGTATTCTAAAAAATGATTCAGAAAGTCCTGGAGTCCAAACACCTCAGGTAATAGTATTATCACCCCCTCTGCATACCAAATCTTGGATGAGGTTTGGCCAGCATAAACAGCTCTACTTGTTGCCTGCACAGAGAGGGTGTCACAGGAGACATTCCACTTTAAAAATGGGCTCTTTATATGAAAAGATCATCCTTCTTAGCTTAGAATCATAAATCACTCTGCATTATTCTCACAGAATAAGGAATATTTGGCTGTCTAATGTAATACAGAAAGATTTAAAGATTTGTCCCCAAGTGTTGATAACCCATGATGGATGTATCTTTAAGGTGAATTTTTAAAAGTGATTTTATATTAGAAGATACTTCTTGGATTTAAAAATGCACACACACACATATATGTGATATATGATATTTTTCTTTGCTTAAGACTCACCAGTTTTACAGTTCAAATGATGTCCCTCCTAACTCCACAAGGCCAGAATTTGAGCAAATGCTTGTTCAACCTAGACATAATCATTCGATAGCCTTTAATTGAATCTCTTCCTAACTTTTATCCTTTAAACCGAAAAGTTATAGCACAGTCACTACAGCAGCTCATTTTATTGGAATTTCTTTGGATCCTCTCCCTCTCAAACATTCTGCGTGTATTTGGTAAGGAGTCCTCACACATTATTTTTTACTTGTATAGTATTTCTACATATATATATTAATGTGTACAAAGTATGTATGAATATTTTTATGTGTTGTAATTTGTATTTTATATATATGGCCTCATGTATATAATATGATGTTGACAGAGCCAACTATGATAAGTGTTTTAAGCTTTTCAGTTGATTAGCCCCCTAGCTTACATTGTAAGACCATCATTTAGAGCCAGCAGTTTTCCCTTGATTTCATGGACAGTTGATTCTCTTCATACACTTTAAAAACACCATTTAGGTGTCTGAAACCCATCAGTCAAGGCTCCCAGAGCTTTCACCTATCATAGTTCAAGTTGATCTCTAGGGTATATGTCTGCTTGTTCCTGCCAATCATTTTCCTAAGCCCAGTGGCCTGCTTCTGGAAGTCCCAAGAAGGGCTCCATAGTGGAAGCCATTTGTTAGTTCTGATTTATGATTAGATCATCATTACTCCTCTTCAAGCTTGGTGGGCATATCTTAGTGTTTTGATTTAGTGCCTTAGTTCTGCCTACTTCAGTAATGAATTTAGGAGTAGATGTCTCCGCATTTCATCCCTGATAAAGATTGAGGCAGTTTAGGGACTCTGCAGCTTCCTGTGGCCAAATTCTCTACTTATTCCTGAGATAGGGTTTAAGAACCTGGATTCTAGAGACAGATTGCCATGGTTCGAATCTCAGCTTACTAGCTAAGTGACTTTGGGCAAGCGATTTAACCTCTCTTGTCCCTCAGTTTCCTCCTATGTAAAATGACCAAGATAATAATACCAACCCAATGTAGATTAAATTAGTTTACAAAGTGCTTAGAATAGTGCTTGGCACATTAGTGCTTTACAACTGCTATTTTGATTGTTGCTGTGGGCTCTCTCAAATGCATTGTCTCTAGATGCCAGTGCCCCAGGTCAAAATTTACCTTTAACCATGCCGCAGGTTTCCCAGACTGCTGCAGTCCTCCTAGCCCTGGGATAAAAGCTCCCACGCAGGTATACTTTTACTTTCCTGCCTGGAGAACTGATGAGCAGTGGCCAGCAGGGGACACTTACCGCCCAAGCTGGGAAGAGAGATTTCTTCCCTTTTGTCTCCGCCCCTGCTAGTTATCAGAGGTACCTAGCAGCCCGTGCTATATCCTCCGTTTGCCTTCGAAACTACTCTTCCCACGTTCTGCAGCTGGAAGGCCGGCCTCGCGCGGGTCAGACACGACCCGGCCTGGGAGCATGGGCCCCCAGGCTTACCTGACTGCTCACCTGGAACTCGCGCTCCTGAGCTGGCGCGGAGTTCGGCCGGGCAACCACAGAGAGGAGAAAGCCTCCAGAATCCTAGAGAAGCTGAATGCTGAGACAGCCGTTGACGGCGGCGGGACACGAAAGTACCGACCTTTCTGACCTTTGTGGCGGACCTTTAGGAGTGGGGTGGTCCCAGGTTCGTGCACTCTGGCCTTTCAGTGTCTCTGGTGAAGTTGGGCCTGATAGGTTGAGAGCTGCCAGGGGAAATTAAGGGTGACTTCCAAGTTTTGAGGTATAAGGAAAACTGGCTGTTGAGAAAAGGGAGTCTAGGTTCCCTGTTTGGTGAAAGAAAGTTGGGTTCATTTGGGGAAATGATGTGATTCATGATTTTCCCAAGATCGACGCTGAATACAAGAAAAGACAGAATCCACCTAGCTGTTGTGTGACTTTGAGCAAATTACTTAACTTCTGTGTGCCTCAGTTTTATTCATCTGTCAGTGAGATTATAAGTGTCTACTTAAATGGCTGCATGCATGGTGCATTTTAAGTAAATATTAGCTGTTGTTATTTTTCATTTCCGATGTTCTTATCTCTGCCTTTTATACGGGATATTTTGAAGTGGGGGGGGGGAGCCAAGGGAAGAGGGTCATGATCTTTAAAGTTTTATTAATAAAAACTTTTAGAGAGTAAAAGGCTAGCATGGGGCTAGCTAATAATTTGCAGTCACTCTTCTTTCCTAATTTATTTACCTTCCTGACAGAGTTCCGTTTTCTTTCAGTGCCTTGTTCAGATGAGTGAGTTCTTGGCTAAAGAGGTAAACAAAATTTAGCTTCTGTTAACATTGTTATTTTATGCCTCAGGAGGAAGACCAGCTACAAGGAAATACTTCTGAAAAATCATTCTGAACCCCAAGCTGGAGTGAATCTTCTCCTGAGCTCTCTCATTCCAGAATGGCAATCTTGTTGCAGGAAAGATCTCTAATAGTGACTGATGGTAAAGGAAGAAGGCTGTGCCTAGAACAAAGAATCAGGCTGGCAAAGAAATCACAGGTCTTTCCTCAAACTTCAAATTGTTACTATCTGGAAATAGCTACCTGGACTTTACAGAGCTGTCAGAGGACTTGGGAAGGTTTGCCAGCATTGGAAAAAGCCACTTGGACTTCACAGAGCTGTCAGAAGACTTAGGAAGCTTTGCCAGTAGTTCCTGAGACCAGAAATACATATTATGAAACAGGTGCTGGAACAGGTCCTAACTCCTACTTGTGAAGCTGCAGATATAGGTAGGATTATGTCATCCAGAATGTGGAGAGGAGGCAATCGATGATGCTGGAAAAGTTGAAGAGACAGCTTGAATGAAGGACAAACCACAGGTGGGAAAGGTTGGAAGGATCACTTATAGCTGGACTAGCAAAAGGCTTTGGGAATAGGATAGAAAGCAGCAAACCTGAACTTTAAGATCCACCAGATGTCTCTGGAACCATAACCCAGCATTTCCCATAAATAGCAGGCTTTAATTCTCCTGCTGTTTAGGTGCATCTCTGGGACCTTCTCTTTCTATATTGGGTTTTTTGTTTGTTGGGTGTTTTAAGTTAGGGGTTAGCTTCTAATTCCATTTCCCAAGACCAACTTTATCACATTGCCTTTGGGTCTTAGGCTAAAAGATAGAACAAGATATGCTTTTGGTCAAGATAGTACCTTGGAATCAAAGGTTTCAGATCAAACCTAAGATCCTATCTTGGTTTACCTCTCAGTGTTATTGCCTTTTGATATGGAAAGTTGATGAGAGAGCATCTCTGGAGAGAAAGAAGAAGAGAGCCTCACAGGGGAAGCTTTTAGAACTTTTAGTAACATCCTCTCCCCAGAAACCTTGTCTCTACTCATCTCCTTCTCATTGTCTACCTGATTCTTTAAGTAGAAAATCTCAACCATATTTGTAGGGGCTTGGGGTTTTGTTTTTTGACTCACTTAACTCCTTTAACTTCAAAATGTTGCTTTCTTACATTTTAGACATGAATATTACCTAGAAAAGCTATTACCCCACTGTAAATTTTCCAGTTTATTGATTTCCCCACATCAGATTAGTATGTATTTTGAAACTGGTTTAGCTATTGTTTCAAGTTAACTTTGATCATATCCCATTGTTTACTGATCCACTCAACAAATATTTATTGAACATTTTGTAGGTCTATAGTAGTAGCCAAGATACTTATCGGTGAGTAGAAATAGTCCTTTTAACTGTCCTTAACAAATTAAACTTTCTCTTGGTTTCATGATATTCCTTGTTTCTCAGCTTTGGATTCAAACTGATCTTCTCTTAACTTTTTTGATTACGCTTTCCTGATTTCTTTTATTGTCACGTTTTGTGAAAAGTCTTCCATGCATTTCCAGTTTCTTTCTGCCTAGCTGTCTCTTCTCACCCAAATTGGACCCCTCTACTCCTACCCTGCCACGTGCCTTCACAAAAATGAGATGCTTGTTTAGAGACTTAGAAAAGGCATGCACTTTAGGTAAAAGTGGGTTTTATTTTTAATCACTGTACCCTATCATAAATTTTCATTTCAGAAGAGACAACTGACATTTGAATTATCTGTGCATTTTATTTTAGATGGTGTTACTGAGAAGGAAACTAAGGACTTGGCTCCAAAACAAAAAAAAAATCTGGAGATGCTGAATTTTATTAGGGGCAATGTCTGTAGAACTGCAACATCAATGCAATAAGTGTAGTAAAAGCTTTAGTTTCTGGTGCATCATTAGTCAGCATCATGTAGTCCACGATTAAGAGAATATCTTTGCAATCTCTGCAATCAACAAGTTTTGAAAGGCTTTTGCTTGTAGTGGAACCCTCTTTTCCCGCAGAAGAACCACCACAGGAAAAACGCTGTCAGCATAAGAAATGTGGGAAAGTTTTCAGCCACATGGCCTTATTTGACATCAAAGAATCCACATGAGAGAGAGACTGCATAAATATGATAACTGAGGAGGCCTTTGTTCAGGAAGGAAACCTTATACAAACTTGTGTGAAGAGTGTAGGAAGACCTTCACCCAGAAGCCAGAACTGACTGTGCACCAAAGAATCCGCACCATAAACGTGATGAATGTAGAGATGCTTTCTTCAGCATTGGACAATTCACACTAAAGGGAAACCCTGCCAGTGTGATGAGTGTGGAAAAGGCTTGGAAAAATCAGTGAGTGAATTCATATTAGAGACTCTTACAAATGAGAGGATTGTGGGAACTTGTATAGACAGAGATCAGACCTCAACAAGGGAGTCTCCACAGTATTGAAAAGTTAATATAATTAATGTAAGTGGGCAAGTTGTATGGAGAATGGGTAGTCTAAATTGCTCATTTTAGCCAGTAAAAACATTAAATGAGTTTCTTAGATCAAGAAAAGGAAATGTTACAAGTTAGTTTTCCCTTCCAGGGAGATCTATATGTATAAGCAACCAGGACTTTTGAAATAAGTTGCATCTTTGGATTTGTGATCTGTCTCCTGGATGATTATCTCTGTTTTAGGGGACAGGTATTTTTTTTTCATGCCTGCTCTAGTCTCATCTCGTATCTTTAATTCATTCAGCAAGTATACAGAGTAGTATTATCGTCTACTGTTTGTTGTAAATATATATATATTATTTTCTTTATGGGCTGAGTAGGCTTGTATAGGTACCCTAGGACACAAAAATCACATATATCGTGTTTCAGTAAATGTAGTGAAAGGAACTATATTATGAAATTGCTGGGCATTTCTATAAATTTGGGACTACCTTTTTATTCTCCAACACAAGACCATGTAGGTGTCCCTTCAGACAGTATATTTTTCCAGCTTTGGCTTCTTTATTTTCTTTCTTTCTTTATTTTTTTGAGGTGGAGTCTTGCTCTTGTCACCCAGGCTGGAGTGCAGCGGCATGATCTCAGCTCGCTGAAACCTCCGCCTCCCTGATTCAAGCAATTCTCCTGCCTCAGTCTCCCAAGTAGCTGGGTTTACAAGTGCTTGCCACCACGCCCAGCTAATTTTTGTGTTTTTAGTAGAGACGGGGTTTCGCCATGTTGGCCAGGCTGGTCTCGAACTCCTGACCTTGTGATCTGCCCACCTTGGCCTCCCAAAGTGCTGGGATTACAGGCATGAGCCACCGTGCCCGGCTGTTTTTTTAAGATAGGAAAATATACTTCATGTATAGCCTATTGACAGATAATGACTGATATTTTTTCTTATAGATAACATATAATAAACATTGTGAAGACTAATATGTTAAGTAACTTGCTTATTCTTTTCAGTTCTAAAACCTATAGGAAAGAATCTTTAGAAGCTGTCAACAAGTTGATAATGTAGCCCAAACTCTACCCATAATACGAGAGTGAGGCTTATGTATTTTATAGTAGGACACTAAATATAGGAACCATGTATTTAAAAACTTTTATTTAGTGATTATCTCAGAATGCTAGGTTTCTCTCTGGTGTACATCCCTAAATTTTTTGCATAGGTATTATTCATACATTCATTATTTTTAAAGAGGGACTGCATTCTGTAAAAGGCTTTTCCAGTATCTGCAAATCATACAGTTGTTTTAAACTCTATTACTATTAT